ATTGCAACACCCCCATTCTGACCCCAATCCCTTCCCTCCCGCCCTCCAGCCCCCAAAAAGTGTCTCTGGTTCATAGTTTTTTGTTGATTTTGAGATTCAAAATCTCAAAATTTTGAGTTTTCACTTTGTTATAGTTATTCATTTTCCTGGTCCCTTATTTAAGTTTTCTAGATTCCTGCTATGAGTGAGACCATCCAGTATTTTTCTTTTTCTTTCTGGCTTATTTCGCTGAGCATGATCCCTTCCAGCGCCATCCATGTTGCTGCAAATTGCATGTGTTTATCTTTTTTGATTGCTGAGTAATATTCCATGGTGTATATGTACCACATCTTCTTGATCCAGTCACCTATTTTTGGGCATTTGGGCTGTTTCAAAAGCTTAGCTATTGTAAATAGTGCACAGCGGGTTGAGTGCCGTGCTGTGAAACTGTCAGCAGCCTCGACAGTGAGGGTTCGATCCCAGCAGGCCAGCAAGTGTCCCACATGGCGCGACAGACCCCTCCTGTCGGGTCCGCTGCTCCCCCTTATGCATATTTTTTCGACTTAAATGTAGACGACAGAACTGAAGCACCCAAAGGGGGATGGGTGAGGGCAGGGAAGGAACCACAATAGACTATTATGGTGTGCAGTGGGTGATTTGGTAGTGGGTACCCTATGGTACTGATACCTAATAGAGAGAAAAAAATCCTAATGTTACCACAATAAAAAGAATTCTTTTTTTTTCATTACTTAAATTTAAAAAACTTGAGATTTTCTCAATTACCTACTCTTTTATATTTGATAGACTTGCATGAATAATTAAGAACAAACAGAATTATGAAGGTCAACTTGGAGAAACAATTTGATGCTAAAGGGAAGAAAAATTACCTGCTGATTTCCTATGGAAAATTTTCTAAGTTTTATAGTTCCAAAATGGAAGCAAGAAATTATCACAGAGCAGACAGTAAAACAGTTTTCATGACATGTTTAGTTAGGGTTAGGTTTGTAATCTGATGCAACACTATCTAAATCATTCACGTCAGTGTGAAACTGTTAGGATATGACCCCTGACCTTTTCATCCCCATCAGTTCTATGTTATAGAAGTTGTCTTATAGATACAAAAGGTCTTCCTAGACCTACACTCTGGTTATATTACTTGAGGGGGTCATGAGGCAATCAGAGATGTGGGGTAAAATTAAAGGTAAATTAATAACTGAGAAAGAAAAGGCACTCTTCTAACATTTTGAGGTCCCTAAGTGGAAGTGTAGGGCAGAAAGATAGCAAGGGCTTATGGCTGATGAGAAGGCTGGAGCAGAAGTTGAGTGGCCTGGCTTGTTACATACATCATTCCACATAGTAAAAATTAAAGAGAAACATTTACTGGCAGAGAAGAAAACTAAAATGTAAGTTACAGATCCTGAGTTCATTTTTATTGCCTGCTAGAAATAAGGTAGCAAGTCCAGAAAGTAATAACTTATCAACAGGATCTGGCCCCAGCAGTTTTTTATAGAGTACTGGCAGTGATAAATGATTCAAGAGTAATACCATCAAAGTAAATACCTTCCATTTCCACCATTGACTTTATACATACTCAGGTAGCTCTGTGAAAGAGAATTAAAGGCACAGCACCGTATGGGAAGAATTAGCCCGAGGTTTTGCTATGACAGGTAGTAAGATAGCACATTATGACATGCAGATTATATATAAACCAATGAAGGTTAGGGTCTCAGGAATTTTCTTTTAAATATCTGTCCTGATTTCAGAGTACGGCGTCACATCATCAAGTAAATTAAATACAGCCACAAACCCAGCAAAACCTCAAATTATCTACTTCCTAATACACACATTGGCTTTATCTCTTCCTGATGATTACATCTGTCCCAGGAATAAGCACCAGCATTTATGATGCTGTTTATTTGCTGCAAATCATTCAGCTCCTTAATAAGACTCATCCATATTCAATTCAGCCTATATGAGTCATACTGCACTGTCAGTCAGAATATTAATATTTCAAGATATAATCCAATATAGATCAGAAGGCACTATGAGAACAACCCACTAGTTTACACCGTTTCCTATTTATTCAGCACAGGTCCATTCTACTAAGCATAACTGATGCCTCGTGATGTTTTCTTCTTGAATCAGAAATGGCTTAATCAATCAATCATAAGTTTTCAAGTCTGACTTGCTAGATATATAAAATCATTCTGTAATATGAACCAAATTTCCAGTTTTCTGAACATGTAGTTATTATATTTTAACATAATAGGTAAACATATACCCATATATAAGGCAGCATATATCCTGAGTCTTTTTCCAAGACTTATCTTGTAACACATACAGGATGGAGAGAAGGAAAGAACACGGGAAAGAGGGTGGGGAAAAGGCAGGAAGGCAGGAAGGAATTGAGCTCTTTTCTCCTTTCTTTCCCCATCTTCCAGGAGAAGTGGAGTGAAAGTAAACATCAGGGGTCAGAAAGGGCCTGAGGTGTGGGTAGAACTGATATTACACAGCTGGTACCAGCTAATAAAAACAAGTTATTTTGCCACTGCTCCCGCCCCACTCTCTGAAGTTTGCCTGCAAAAGTAGGCTCTGCTGACAAGACTCAGCACAGGACACGAGAGTGGCAGCTGTGATGTGCAATACCGAAGATTGGTCCTCACTGTTCTACAGATATAGTTTATGAACTTAAGTCCGGCAGCAATATCTACAATGTGATTAATTCTTGTTTTCTAAGTCTTATATTCACTTATATATGTGCACACGTGCTGAAATCCTCTCTCCTCTCTCCTTCCCTGCTTCCCACCCTCTCTTCTTTCCTTCCTTTTCCTCAAATGCTACTCAAATATTTATCGTATTTCAGGCAAATCCCTGACCTCTGCAAATGCAGTCCTCAGGGACAGAAATATAGAAACAAGTAATTAAAGGATGTTGTAATAGTAAAGTGACTGACTATATTGGCTATTATGAGGTCATAATTCAAACATCTTAGAAACAGCTACCAGATACTGATCACACAGAGCAATAAAATTGTGTTGCCACCTCAATTCTTTCCTATAATCACAATCTTCAATCGCTACAGTAACAAGTATATATTAAAATAAATCGGTGTTAGATTATCTTGAAAACATGTTTTTTATTTATTAAGGCACTTCTAAAACTAAAGCCCAGAGCATCCCTACTGGCCCAGGGGTTAATTCTCAGCTCTATTACAGCTCTGCCTGTTCTGCTTCCCACTCTGTCTCTGGTGAATCCTCTTATCCCCCGCACCTCTGGCCTATACCCCAGTTCTTCTACCCAAAAATAAATGAACAAATTCTTTAAAAAATAAAATAAAAGTAAAGTTTAAGTTGTGTTGGAAGTGAAATTAGGATTTGAGAGGAATGGAATGCTATGTCACATTTTTGTGTTTATTACAATTTTGCTATCAATGAATGAAATGACAATTATCTCTGATTTATTAGAAACAAATATCATCAAAATCTACAATTGTAACGCTTCCTAGGCCTAGGTTCAAATATAAGCAGGAAAGAAATGAGTGAACAGTGTTTCAAAACAATTTGTAATAGGAAATCTGTACAAAGTATTTACATAACCAAGAGAAATCTCTTGAGAAAGGAGGAATTTGCAGGTAAATTAATGCAATGGATTCACAGAAAAAAGGCAGAATTCTGGAAGGCCCAAAGGTGCACTTTACAATGAATAATTCTGTCAGAATTATGTGTGCAAATTAGATCAATTAAAGTAGAAGATGCTCAGTCACATACTGGACTAAGAGTTAACTGTTAAGGGAATAGAACTAAAACCAATTCCAACTGAAATGGTGGAGAACATCCCAGGTGGAAAACAAAACAATTTCAGAAGTAAAGAGAGTAAGTAAAAGCATTATTTACTTTTTTTTTTCTTTTTAAAAGTTGACACTTTAAAAAAGCCATGCATATTTTGTCAGGCTATTTATATATTTCTATTTTACTTAGACAACAACAGTAATTAGGAAATATACAAGAAAAAGGCACAAACCTTTTTGTTTTAATCTCAAAAAGAGCAACTAAAGTTGTTCCAAAGTGATGACCATAGTTTTAGCAAAATTTACAGCATACCATTTAATCCACTTGCAAAAATTTCTCCACACTCAAGATATTTGTTTTTAACTAAAGAATTCTGAGAAAAACAAGGATAAACCTATGTTCAATATTAATGTCTCTGTATTTTATCTTATTTAGAAATGATCTAGATAGTCAGGGCCTGCCTGTTGGCGCAGGTGGTTGAGCGCCGCACTGTGAAGGTCTCTGCAGCCTCTGCAGCGTGGGTTCAATCCTGGCCAGCCAGTGAGAATCCCACATGGCATGGCAGACCTCTCCTGCCTCGCCCGCTGCTCCCCTCGGCAGTGTATTTTAGTCAGTCTGCCTGTTCTGTTCCCTGCTCTGTCTCTGGTGAATCCTCTCACCCTCCTGCACATCTGGCCTATACCCTGGTGCTTGTATAAATAAAATAAATCTTTAAAAAAGAAGAAGAAATGATCTAGATATTCAATAAATATCCACCACTTAATATATTTCAGTATAACTTTAAGGTTTCTAGTTACCAAAGATTTTGAAAGCTCTTTTTAAGTAAACATACTATAAAACATAATTACTGTTGAAAAATTATTTATAAACTTTTCACTAGTTCTGAACAATTATGTTTGAATCATTCTTGCAAATTTCATGAGACATTAAGCAGCTAACCATCATCTGAAGAGATCTTTCTTACTGATTATCAGAAAGAAATATCATCAAAATCTACATTTGTGAAGACACATTTTGTAACAAGGAAAATAAGAGTCTGATATTTAATAAACCGAAGTAAAATAAAAGTGTTCTATTTAATGCTGTTATCTCTAAATACATGCCCATTTAATTAAACCAACAAATGTAAAGTAGCTTTAAGTTACCAATGATTATCTTAGACCCCGTGAACTTCTCTCAACCAGGCATCTCACACAGAGATGTGGGAGAGCTGACATTCATAAGAATTCTTACCCTTTGCTGACTTCTACCAGATTTCCCAAGATGCTGTCTGCAGGATCTGGAGTGGGGTAACAAGCAGGTCTCACCTTACTCCCAAAATCTGCAAGAGAGGGAAAAAATATTCCTTGTACTCTATAATGGAGTGCTTGACTGAGACCCCTTTTTCTTTAGGGTATTTCGTAAATGTGTAAGCTTACCTAGATTAAACATTATGGGTATAGTTTCCCACCTCTCAAATGTATGTTACAACAGCACACCGACCACCAAGGTACCTACAGTCGTCCCTCATAGTCCACTGGACCCCTCCATACTTTACTCCTTACCCATCCCCTGCCCCTCTGCTAGGCTCAATTCTACAGTCAGATTGAGAGTTAATATTTTAGTTTAGTTCTGTGTGTTCCTTTGTTTTCCTTCTCTATGTTCCACATGAGTGAAATCATCCAGGATTTGTCTGTCTTCTTCTGGCATATTCCTCTTCTCATACTACTCGGATATGGGGCGGGGGGCACAATAAGATGAAATCTTTCCATTTGCAACAACAGGATGGAAGTGGAAGGGATTATTATTGTATTCTTAACACTGTGGAACTGTGACTGGTGCATAACAGGAACCCAAATAATATTTGTTGAATGAAAGAGGATATAGCATACATTTCCATTAGACTGTTCACTCATTGGCACTCCTCTCTAATAAATGTCTGTCAAGTGAAAAAAAAAAAAAGGACTTGTTACAACAAACATTACTAGTGACAGTATTTTTTGGGGCTGCAATCTAGCATACTTTTCATTTTCATGACACTGTTGTCCACATAGGTGTCAGGGTCTATGCCAGTCAGTGTATTTCTTCCCCTTGGTCTCAATAATTGGTCTTTTCTGGTTTATGTGGGCACCTGACTTATCGGTAATCTAATTAAAGTGATTCACAAGCTCTTCCAAGGACCAGTAGCTCACCAAAAACAGGCCATCCACGATGGAATGAATATTCCCCCATATGCAGGAATAAAGGGGTACATTGTGGAGAATTTAAAATCAAGCACACTAAGTACAGCTCAGTTGCTTTTTATTATCAACTTGTATTGGCAAGTCTAAACAATGTCAATGAGAAAACACCCTCCCCACAAATCTGTTTTCTCTTGTTGCCAACCTTCAGCCCTAACTTGGAACATGGTAGGTAGGATACTAGAATGAAATTACTGGTTTCTTTCTCTGGATTTAAATAGGGAAACCAACACCCTAAAAACTGCTGATAATCCTCTTGTGAAAAATGTGGGCATGGGAGTGGAAACACTGCAAGAGATGTCGAGCAAAGAGATGTATCTTGACAATGTAAACTGAGCCACATCCCAGATGATGGCACCCTAAACCTTAACATTTTAAGTTTACTTAAGCTAAAAACTTCTCTTTTCAACAGGCTATAATTTGTTTCAGAAATCTAATACCAGGAGAAAACACTTTATTTTAAATCATGATACTGCTAAGAGTAAAAAAATCTCTTAGATATCTTTAATTAATTAGTTTGTGCTTATTCCTTCTAGTTGGCAAACCTATTCTGCAAAAGGACCAAATGGAAAATATTTTAGGTTTCTATTTTAATATGATAAAATTAGTAAACTTACTAATTTTTACTAATATAATAAAATTAGTAAATTTTATTTACTAATAAAATTAATGAATGAAAAAAAAGACTTATTTTTTACCACCTCTGTTCTATCTACTGAACTCTGCCATCTTAGTCTAAAAGCTACACTTAACAAAATGTAGTTAAATAATTGTTACTGTAGGGCCTCCCCAGTGGCAAAGCATGTTGAGCACAGTGCTGTGAAGCTGTCCGCAGCCTCTGCAGTGCCCGTTCGATTCCCAGTCGGCCAGGGAGAAACCCATATTGTGTGGCAGACCTCTCCTGTCTCGCCCGCTGCTCCTCTCAGCAGTGCGTTTGGTCCGTTCTGCCTGTTCTGCTCTCTGCTCTGTCTCTGCTGAATCCTCTCACCCTCATGCACCTCTGGCCTGTACCCCAGCTCTTTTATAAATAAATAAATCTTAAAAAAAATTATGATTGTATTTGCATGGAATTTTATGCACAATTAAATTCTAACTTCATAAAATTTTCATGTGTTTAAAACTATCTTCATCCTTTAATTTTTTTCCAACTATTTAAAATTATAAAAACCGTGCTTAACTTGAAGCATATAAGTCATAGTTTGGTGATACTTTGTTTCAGACCATTTAAAATATTAAAATACACACATGTATATCTATACTCATGAAAAATAAAATAGTACTTCATGGTTTTGAAATTTATAATGGTACTGATTTACACATACCACTCTACAACATGCTTCCATAATTCAATAAAATACTTTTAGAAATTTAACCGTCTTGGTCCAAATTCTCTCTTTTATTTATTTTTTTATCATTTTTATTTATTTATGCAAGAAAAATAATTGCTCCAATAAGGGAAATGTTTTTATAAAACTTGAAAACCTGTTTTTAAAAGCAGAAATCACTGTCCAGTTCTAGAAATTCACTTTATATTATTTTTTCTTCTGGAAAACTATGATTACAAACAGAAGTTCTCACAATAATTATGCATGAAAAGCATTTTAATCAAGAGCAATTTTAAGAGACCATAACGTTCTAATTAGAAGCAGAGCAATTTTCAAATTGCCCCATAACATTTACTTTTTTTTTTATTTCTTAAACTTTATCTTCTTAATTGATTTTCTAGAAATATAAAATGAAGTAGTCATACTAGATCTTTTCATTGTATGGGGAATATAACCAAGATGAAAATGCATACATTGTGCAAAAATGAAAAATGATGTAAGAAATATATTAAAAAAATAAAATAAACCAAGTCTGAAGAATTAAAAAAATAAATAAAAAATAAATGAGATAAATAAAATAAAATGAAGTATTCTCTAAGAAAATTATAGATGATAGCTATAAACACAGACTATCAAATCCTCTCTTTTAACTGCTTCTTAATACTTATAGTGACAATTCTGAAAGGTACTCAGGCTGTTTCTATCTTTTTTAATAATCTTACACATGCCACTTTATTTCCAGGAGTGGTATCTTTTTAGGGTAGATGCCCAATTATTCCTGGGAAATGAGTTAAGCATTTAAAAAATTTTAATGTATTTATATATTTATTTTTACATCATCATTCACTTTTGTACAATGTTTGCTTTCTCCCCTAAGGTGTAATACCCATAAAATTCCCATCACCAAATCAGCTGTGAACCATCACCGTCATTTTTGATTGCTGAGTAGTATTCCATTGTGTATATACACCACATCTTCATGATCCAGTCATCTGTTTTGGGGTATTTAGATGGTTTCCATATCTTAGCTATTGCAAATAATGCTGCAATAAACATAGGAGTGCATGTTTCCTTTCAAACTAATGTTTTTTGTGTCCTTTGGGTCCATTCCTAAGAGTAGAATTTCTGGGTCATATGGTAGCTCAATTTTTAGTAGTTTGAGGGTCTTCCACACAGCTTTCCATAGTGATTGGACTAGTTTACATTCCCACCAACTGTATAAGAGTGTTCCTTTTTCTCCACATCCTCACCATATTTGCTGTTTCCAGTTTTTTTGTTTTTTTTTAACATGGGCCTCACTGGTGTGAGGTGGTATCTCATTGTGATTTTGATTTGCATTTCCCTGATTATAAGTGATGGTGAGCATTTTTCATATGCCTGTTGGCCATATGCCTGATTTGCATTTCCTCTTTGAAGAAGTGTCCTTTTAGATATTCTGTCCATTTTTTGACTGGATTGTTTGCTTTGTTTTTTGTTGAGTTGTGTGACCTCTTTGCAGATCTTTGAGATCAGTCCCTTATCATTTGTATGGAGTGTAAATACTTTCTCCCAATCAATAGGGTCTCTTTGTTTTGGTTATTATCTCTTTTCCTGTATATAGCTTTTTAGTTTGATGTAGTCCCCTTTGTTTAACTTTTCCTTCATTTTCTTTGTTTCTGGAGATGAGTCCTCAAAGATGTTTCTGAGGTGTGTTTCATGGAGTTTTTGCCTATTTTTTTTCTGTGTATTTTATGATTTTAAATATTTTATCTTCAATTATTTTATACATTTTGGGTTTGTTATTGCGTGTGGTGTGAGGTAGTAGTCTAGTTTGATTTAAGCATTCAAATTTTTAAACTGTATGGGATCACATTCATCAACCCTCATAAACACATAAAATTATCAAAACTTTTAATAATTGAGAATAAGATAGAGGACTATGTTGTTTGAATTTTTGTTTCCTTGAATATTAGTGAGGTTGAATAAATTTTTATACCTGCACTGGCAATTTATATTTTCTATTGTATTAATTGATTTTATTTCTTTGTTTTGCAAATTTTTATTGAACTGCTTATCCTTTTCTTATGGATTTGTAGAAATCCTTTATATATTCTTGATGAAAAGCCCTTACTAATATATTGAAAATTTTTTTCCCAGAATGTTATTACCTTTTTAGTCTATTTGTGATTTTAAGCTTATCTTTTTATTCTATTAGTCTTTTTATTTTAATTCATCAATGAAAAGTCCTAACATTTGGTACAGTCAAACTCACCAATTTTTTTTTATTTTATATATTTTTTTACATCATTTTTCATTTTTGCACAATGTATGCATTTTTATATTGGTTATATTCCCATACAATTCCCACCCCCCTTATTTTGACCCTAATCCCTCCTACCCACCCCACCCCATTGCGTGTCTCTGGTTTATAGTTGCTTGTTGATTTTGATTTTTACTTTATTTTATAATTAGTGTTTCTTCTGGTCCCTTATTTAGGTTTTCTAAATTCCTGCTATGAGTGAGACATTCCGGTATTTTTCTTTTTCTTTCTGGCAAGATCCCTTCCAGCTCCATCCATGTTGCTGCAAATTGCATGAGTTTATCTTTTTTGATTGCCGAGTAATATTCCATTGTGTATATGCACCATATCTTCTTGATCCACTTGTCTATTTTGGGGCATTTGGGTTGTTTCCATAGCTTAGCTATTGTAAATAGTGCTGCTATAAACATGGGGTGCAGGTGCCCCTTTGAATTAATGATTCTGTGTCCTTTGGTTAAATACCTAGGCAAACTCACCA